GCGAAGCTCACGGGGGATACTCTCGCTATTGATGTTTCTGCTCCCAGCAGAGTTATGCCGCTCTCCATGTGAGAGTAAGTTACACTACTTTAGTAATTTTATTGCGCTAGACACACGCGTTCAGATTATACAGGGTGTGCTCGTGAATTATTTCCAACAGTGTACTTATCATTAATTAAAGGGAACTTGATGAGCAATTCAACTAGCACACAATAACCCTGTATATTGTTCCATATAAAAACTTAAGAAAAAGCCATTTGAAAAACATTAAATGTAACCAAGCTTTATAAACATTTTGTATACACTATACATCTAATATCTTTGGATACTATCATCTACCTACTGGCTTTGACTATTGTCTGAGGTAGTTTCAAGCAAAATCGAACAATTGAATATCTCAGGAACTATGAACGCTGTGAAATAGTAACATATACGGTTGTATAAACAAATTTAGTTGTATTCATAATATAATAAAATATACAGGATGTTCCATTTAAATAAATTTACGTAATCTCTGTCACGCTTAAATGGACCACTTGTATAAGTGAAATTAATTTTACATAATAGAAAGTGATGAGTCAAACAACTTTTGTATAAAATATTTTTTTGTTTTCCAAACGGTTTAGTAACTATCGACCGTCGGGATACTAATAATGCACCCTGTATACTATATTCCATACATAATGGGCAGTCTGTACATATTAAGTTCTATATCGGTAGATCTACTGATAAATCGGTAGCGTTGGCAACGCTGGTTATAGCTAAAAGTCCATTATATGAAAAATTTTTAATTTACACTTTAAACTGTATGAATGATGCACACAAATTCGAACAGCTCTCCACACCGTTGCGTTGAACTAAAACTACGCCGTCTTTAGGGTAGGTGGTTTTACAGTACTTAACAATAATATTATTGTTATAGGATTACTTTTTACATGAAAAACCAGAAGCTAAAACACTCGATTATGGCTACATAGACTCAAGAAAACAACTAAGAAAAGAACTTCATTGTAAAAACTTCGAATGGTATTTACAAAACGTTTACCCAGAATTAACTCTTCCCACCGATGATAACGAAAAAGCTAAAGAAAAGATGGCCGCATTGCAACAAGACGCCTTCCAACCGTGGCATTCACGAAAACGAAATTATATTAAGCAATATCAGATTAGGTTAACTAATTCTTCTTTGTGTATGCAAAGTACGAAAGATTTAAAATCAAAAGGTAGTGAGTTGGTTCTTAAAAGTTGTGTAAGAGCTAGGCATCAGGTATAAAAGCATTAATATATTCCAAAAAGGATTTAATCTTTAAAGCTTTTTGTTTAGGTATGGTTTGAAACTGATAAAAAGGAATTGGTTTTAGCACAACTTTTATGTTTACAAGCAGATAAAAATAAAGTTATTTTATATAAATGCCATGAAATGGGGGCTGATCAAGAATGGCAACACAAAGGGGAGGTATAAACATAATTTTTAATGCATCAAAGGAAAATTTACCATAATAATTTTATTTCAGAATAAAACTCCAATTTATAACGTTGCTGCTGGTATGTGCATAGGAGTAGATAATCCTCAACATGGAACAAAAATAATTATGGATTTATGTACTGATCTAAAGTATGGAACTTGGGATTTGATAGTTTAATAAATAAACGAAAAGTATTCCTCTAAGTATTAAAACTAATTATAATAAAAAAAATACTCTGTAAACATTTTAAGACTGAAATTCCATCCGCAGATAAAAAATAAGAAGCAAAAATAAATATTAAAATTTTTAAATTTAGCGCCCTCTTTTGCTTTTTAACTATAACTTCTTTCAATAACACATACCGCCATCTGCAATCTATACATCAAATTAGTTAGAACCTGTAGCAAAATTGTTTATTTTAATTTTTTCACATCTTGCAAGTTTATAAAATTATTTTTTCATTACGCACTTTAAAAACCTCTTAAAATCGTCATTTAAATAATGTAGTTAACCTCATTACGAACATTAAAAATAAACATCTTAAAATAACATAACCTCATCTAACCTAAAAAAAAATATGAAACTAACGGTTTTAATTTTACTTCTTGTTTCGTTTGTATATTGTGACCTTAAGCAACAATCAAAACACACAGATGATATACTAGATCAGTTGATAAATCCGGAAAAAAAATCGACTCAATCAGCAATAACATCTACATCAACCTTTGAAGGTGATATATTATAGTTCACACTTATAAGATATCTTTTTTATAAGTTTGTTTTTAGATATATGTGTAGTGGAAGGAAGAACGTTAACGGTGGGTGACTCAGTTAATGCCCTTCCACCAAAATGTTACAAAATAAACTGTGTGGCAAAAAACCATGTTCGCTTTGAAGGGTATTGTTTACATTTTCACTTCAGGTTCAGTTTTAATGTATTTTTTTGATTGTAGGTGTAACGTAACCAAAATATCACGTGGGTGTGTTGGATCCTTTTACGACATGACTCAAATATTCCCAAAATGTTGTCCGAAACAAGTTTGTTCTTGAAATTTTACAAACTTGTAAGGTTTTCGAAATTTGACTTTATTCGAAATATATATATGACATTACAATCGGTTTTTTGATTTTTAAAGCATGCGATATATTTAGTTACACAAAATAAATCAACAATTAATTTGGTATAGTAATAAATATCAACATAGAAAAGGAAACTGTAATTACATTATTTATTGTTCTCGATCAGAATAATAGATGTCACTAAAATCAATGCATTATACCTGGTACCAGGAGTATATAAATATTGTAAGGTCCCAAATAATTATTACCACAGGTATGGTGAACAAAAAGCTATGGAAGGTTATAGACAACGTATGGAGAGGACAAAAGTTTCTGGACAGGTGGAGGCTGGGGATAATATGTCCACTGTATAAAAAGAGGAGTAAAGCCGTGGTGGACAATTACAGAAAGATCACCCTGTTGTAGACGACATTTAAAATATATGCCAGGTACCTTGGCTGGGGAGATTGGAAGAGGAAATGGAGAAAGGGGAAATGTTGCCGGATGGACAAGCGGGATTCAGGAAAGGAAGAGGGGCAATATATAGGTACATGTAGAAACACCTGGCTGATAGGGAGTTGAATAAGAAGGGAGGAAAGTTGTATGCATTGCTTATAGACCTGAAGGCGGCATTTGATGAGGTGGATAGAGGGATGATGGGGGACTAAATGAGGAGGAGAGGTATCACAGGACAGCTGATAGAAAGAGTGAAGGAGACGTACAGGGAGACGATGGCCAAAGTTAAAGTGGGAGTCTTAAGCGATGAATTCTGGACGACGAAGGGATTCAGACAAGGGTGCCCGCTTATTCTTTATTATTTATTCTATTACTATTTGCGATGTATACGGCGGACTTGGAAGAGACTTGGCAGGGGGCAGATGGTTGGGGTGGTGATGGAAGGAACAAAGGTGCAAGGGTCGTCGTGGCACGAGAGGCGGTGGAGATGAAGGACATGATAAGGTCTCTGGAGAGATATTTTAAGGCAAAGGGGTTGGAGCTAAACGTCGAGAAGACAAAGATCATAGAGTTCTGCAACTGGCGGAGAAGAAAGAGGGAGGAATGGAGGTGGCAGGGAAGAGAGATATAGGAAGTGAAAGAGTATACGTACCGAGAATATAGATTCTTAGAAAGTAATAAGGTCGGGTCGCACTTCAGGGCGATGGAAAAAAGACCGAACAGGCTGATTGGACAGGTTTGGGGATAGGGGGTGAGAACTTTTGGGAGGGATGTAGGAAAAAGAAAGGTTATGTTGGAGGGCTTGGTGGGGAGCACAATGATTTACGGCGCAGAAGTATGGGGATGGAGAGAACAAAGATTGGTGGAGGATGTACAAACAAGGTATTGGAGATGGGTACTAGGGTTGGCGAGGGAGACTCCGGGGTATGCGGCGAGGAAAGAGGTTAAGGTGGATAAAAGGATAGAGGGAAGGCCGCCTTGTAGGAAGCTGCTACAATAAACAGCTGGAAGAGTGCTGGAGAGAAATCAAGGTGAGGAGGTTGATATATGGGCAAGGAGATATATCGGACGATGTGGAGAGGATTGGGAGACGCTGGAACACATGCTGAGAGGGGGTTGGGTTGGGAGGTAATTTGGGGCAAGAAGCAGAGGGCGTGGAGATGGGGGATGATGATAATGTTTGGGTGTATACATATATTGTAGAATATTGTAAATAATTAACAATAAAACGCTTAGTATTAATCATTACCACAATGTGAAGTTGGTTAAATTGGATAAAAATTAAGCGGAAACAGCGCAAATCAAAATAAATGAAAAATAATTTCGTTGAATTCTTTTGATCAACTGCCACAAGAATGCAAACTTACCATCTGTCGTCAGTAGTATTGCAGAGTAGTTATTATATCGAGATTAACAAGTTTTAATAGTAAATTGTATATTTCCAGTTATTTATATGCCGCTGATGAATTTGGTGACAAATATCTAGATATACAGGCTGTTTATTAAACATGCGGCAAAAATTCAAGAGGTTATTCTTTGGACTATTCCAAGAATATTTTATCCTTTGATAATTTTTGAAAACCCGGTTTGCTTCGAAGAAACAGCATGAACAAAGATTTCAACAACAACATTTTATTACCAAAAATTACAAATATAAACTTCCTAATCTACAATAATTGTTGAAAATGACCACCTCCACCGGAGTAGTGTTAGCTAAAAATTTAAGATGGTCCCATAGAAAAAATTCAGGGGGTTTAAATCCGGGGATTGGGCAGACCATAAGTCAGGTCCACCTCGATCAATCCAGCGATCTCCATATGTTACTGTCAAAACCTCACGAATAACCCTACTGAAATGGGCTGGCGCACAATCGTGCATAAACCACATTGGATTTCTTATTGCCAATGATACATCCTTTAGAAATTTATGTAACGTTTGTTCCAAAAAGTTGCAATTTCGCACTTTCGCCGGTAAGTCTTCTTGATAGAAATACTGGTCCAACTAGCCAGTTACAATTCCAACCCAAACGTTCAACGAGAACTAATGTTGAAATGGTTCTTCACTAGCTTATGTGGATTTTCTTCAGCCCACACATGGTTATTGTGAAAATTGCTTATTGCATTTCTTGAAAAATTCGTTTCATCAGTAAAAACAATCAAAGTTAGTAGTTGAGAGATTTGAACCAATTTGCCCAAGAGCCATTGACAGAATGCTAAACGTGGAACAAAATCAGAAGTGCTTGAACGCGCTGCAAATGGTATGGGTACCCACAACAAACAATTTTTAAGAATTTTCCAAACAGTTCCATTATTGGACTGGTTCTTCCTCTATTATGTTCAACACATTCTCTTCCAGTTCTACCGTTCTGACCGTCATTGGACTCCCTGATCCTACACTTCGTCTTATTGAGCCTGTTTGATGAATGACTTTGATGAACGACTTTATGCCGATAACATATTGTAGTGCTATATATTTTTATATATAGCACGGTATTTATATTTTTTTCTACAAACAATAGACAGTGAAATGTGCGTCTATAATTGTTCATAATTGGTGGTGGTTTTGTTTTCTGATCACCTCTTTAATCGCATTGTTTTTTGTGTTTCGATCACACATCAGTTTACTTGATTGCATGATTAAACATTCCATCATCCCATTTCGTATTTCAACTTTATAGGTATACGTTTGGTTATATTGAAGTTGACATCCATTGATTCACACAGAAGAACAAGTGGGATTCTGAAAAAAACAGATCAACAACAGACGCCATACTTATCATCAAGCAACTAAACGAGAAATTAATAAATCCGCCTACCTTCATACACATGACAAAGGCATTTGATGAAGTGCGCCTATCAGCCATTATACGCTTACTAAGGAAGAAGCAAATACCATCTCATATAAAATTAATCTAGAGTCTTTAACACCGACAACTTAACAATCAAAGCGGATAAACACAACCTCAAATATCGAAACATCAGGATTAATGAGATAGCTGGGACATAAAGCCATTCCTGTACAACCTGCTGATGGTTGAGATTATACAACAGGTGACATAACTGGATCTCGGATATAGAATTAACTGTAAATTGATTCTTACTAATTGGTGTGCTATGCCAATAATGCAGCTATCATAGCGAAGACTGAGAATGACCAGGAATATGAAAACATCTACAAATACGTTGTCTTTCTTGGCACCATAGAAGTCTGGCCCTTTTGTAAAATTGCGTCAAAGGAAGACGCCGTAAAAGTCGGGATGAGTGGAGATTAAAAAATCGATTCAATCTTCGACCAATTTCACGAAACGGAATAAGAGTCCAACAATTCGCCCTCTTTCAAAATCAGACAATTGGTTAAACCGCGGTCTTCTACCAATTCTAGGCATTGTAAAAAAATATGCAAAATGGCATTTACTTTGTGATGCAGTTTTTAACTTTCCTGTTACAGATTGTCTGTTTCACAGCAAAAATCCATAAAAAATCTTTGTGAACCGATATGATGTTTTTATCACCGACTTTTTACATGTATTCAGTTGTTTTGTTAAGATTCCAGCTTGGTAACTCATATTTTGATATTTCATTTTTTATCATTTTAGCAAATGGTTTGGTAAGAGATCTAGGTGTTTTTAAAGAAAGTTTTGAATTACTTGCATCTAGATTGAATAACACAAATATGTTTGGTTGTAAAACAAAAATTACATTTTGCAGCACAAGGGGTGAGGATTTTCTTTCCTTTTATCGATTTTATAAGTTATTTTAATACCAATTTCCAAATTCATAGATTTTGCATTTATCTGATTC